ATATTATGGACTAAATGATTGGAGAAGTCCTGCAAAATGACCAGAAAGAAGCCTGTCATTTTCACTGAAGGGTCCATTTATGGCATTTCGACTAAATAATAGTAAAAAAAAAAAATATATATATATTTTTTAATTTAAACATATGGTTGAATTGTCTACAATATAATCTGTAACATGCATTTTAGAACATAGATTAAGAAAATTCATGCTGACTATAATTTAAGGTTTTAGTAAATATTACGAACTGTGAAGAACCATTATTGTGCATCCAATTTTATTTTCAAGAGACAATAAAGAATAAAAGAATAAATATTATTTTTATGGTTGTTGTTAGTTTGTTATAGTTCAACATGGTGAATATAGCATGTGCAGGAATGTATTTATATTACACACCTTCATATTTAAAGAGATAGTTCACCCAAAACTTTATATGGATGTCATCAACTGTTTGGTTACCAACATTCTTCAAAATATCTTTTTTAGGCTGAATAGAAGAAAGAAACTTGCACAGGACGAGTAAATGGAATTTTTGGATGAACTATCCCTTTAAAGAAGGCATTTCATTAAATTCAGAACAATTTTAGGGTACACCATGTGCTAAAAATGAAAAAGTTTTTTTCTTTGTTTTTCATGTACAGACAAACATGTTGTCAAAACAGTGCATGTCAGGCCAGTAGTTGGCGATGTCATTTTGGAAAGTAACACTACGCAAACATGCAAACATGTAATACGCATGCGCATGATGTCACCGTTATCACAAATGTGCGTTTTTGCAGTTTATATAGAGATAAACAATGTTGTTATCAAAAAGTTCCACTTTGAAACCACTTTGTTTTCAAAAGTTTGCGTTTTCAGATCCCCAAAATGGCGTTTGTCTTGTAAATGAACAGCCAAAACGCACACATTTTTTTAGTTGAAAATGGTGTAGCGTAAACGCCCCCTCAGAAAAAGCACTGTATTCACACAGGTTTTCACATAGACGCACCAGCTGCTATTGGTCAGACAAACAGATAGTCCCGCCCCAAACTCAACACCATTGGCTGAGTCAATGTAGGACCGGTCAGGATACTCAAACAAAACAATGAAAAGCCTACTTGAAGCCACTAATTATAGTACTTCCACTATTTAACCTATGAATGATCTACTTATAAACATGCTTTTTTAATAAGCATAATGCAGATGTCTCTGTTTATTAAATTTGTAAAGGAAGTGTTTTAACATCTAAAAACAACACAAATCACATTAAACTTCCAAATATCATTATTTCATTGTATTGACCTCTCAGATATGACAACAGCCTCCTGAAACTTTATAGCCTGTAAGATCACGAGTCTGTTTAACATGTTTTCAGGGAACACCCTTTACTGATATTGACGTTACATAAAAGCGTTATATGGCGTCTTAACATAAAGGACGCAACAACAGTTTGAGCATCAGCTCTCGTGGCGCTTCAACCGTGCAGCACTCGAGAGCACATATTTATAAAGTCAGCAGCAACGTTGCTGTGGTAACTGCGTTGCACGTTTGTTGACTTTGTTGTAATTTCTAAAACGCCGACTGTCTGACATGTTACATTGCTGCTGCATGACTCGGAGCTGTCATAAAGAACATCCTCTATCGCTCTGTCTTACCATGATCTCACTCGGCTACTTCCGGGATCCTGAGCGCGGAGGGGGAGAACGGAACAGCCAATGTTATTCGGCACATGCGGTTTCAAGCCGCCCACTTTGGAAAAAAAGCACAGCGCAGACATTAAAGGACAGAGAGCAGTTAAAACATTCGCAAAAATAATATACACAACCGAAAAGAGAGAAGATGAGCGTCCACAACGAGGCACTTTCTACCAAACTAAAGATTTGACGCATTTTTAGTAGCCATTGCATTTTTAAATGCTAATTTATTACCTCATCTAATGATGCAGTGAATCTACATTTCAATCCATAGTGTATTTATAAAGACTTTAGTAGTAAAACGGCAGAGAATAAAACAATGACCATTAAAGGTCTTCCAGAGTCCTTGTTAGCTTAAAATATAACAGGTTGAATATTAGTAGCTAACAGTATATTAACAACAAAAAGTATGGTCAAGGACTTAAGAGGGGGCTACTTGTATTATTTCCAATATTTTACAGATTTTTTTTTTGTCATCTGAAAGATATGCAGGATATAATTTTATAGAATTTTATACATTAAAAAACTTAATTTAAAACTTGCATAGTAGGGAATGATCTAACCAACCAACTAGTCAAGATTAAAATAGTTCAGCGTTTTAACCCATTTTACTTCCATTATTTTAATGTATTTCAGAGTGAAACATGGGAAAAAATGCATGAAGGGAACTGATTGGGTGGTGAAAGTGTTACCAGGACCCAATGTAGTTTGCTTAAAGGGGTCATATGATGCGATTTCAAGTTTTCCTTTCTCTTTGGAGTGTTACAAGCTGATTGTGCATAGATAAGATCCCTGAAGTTGCAAAGACTAAAGTCTCAAAACCAAAGAGATATTCTTTATCAAAGTTAAGACTCTGCCACGCCCCCCTAAAACGGCTCGTTCTAACACGCCCCCACATATCTAGGTCACTATGTGGGAATATTTGCATAATGCGCCCAAATGTGCACGCAAAGAAAGAAGGCGTGGTTTCAGTAACCGCAGTTAGTGTTGAAGCAGCCATGTCAGGGAGACGGTGTGTGTTTCTAGGTGAAAGCAAAAGCACTTTATTTGGCCTTCCGGAAGTAGATGCATTTAGGAATCTTTAAGATTACTTACAACAGAACAGCAATGCATTTTATGGACGACCGTTTCGTGAACCTAGGAGAGGAGGTAATTCTGACTTTGCTATGACAATCTGGCGCTTCTGAATCAGCTACTGTTTTGTTATTAGTTTAAGTATTTGCTATTGACTGTTCAAATGCGGAGTTTTGTGCAGCGCTGAGTAACGCGTTTTGTGTGTGTGTGTGTGTGTGTGTGTGTGTGAGAGAGAGAGAGACAGCGTCACATCACAGTAAGAGTCAGCTGTCTTAACCGCGGCTTGTGTACTGCATCATTACTGTGTCTGTCACGCGACTCTGTTCCCCTTTCGGGCTTGAACTGATGGTAAAACATTATTTACTGTCTTTACATTTATTTTGAAAGATGAAGCTCGCGATTATGGTAAGGGGCGTTACATTTCTGACGAGTGCTTGCGGTGTTCGGCCAATCACAATGCACTGGGTCAGCTGGCCAATCAGAGCAGACTGCGCTTGTCGGAAGGAGGGACTTTGTAGAAAACGAAGTGTTTGAGAGAGGCGGGGCATAGAGGACCTACAATAATGTACAGTATTTGAAAAATAATGTGTTTTTTGAACATTAAAGCATGTCAACATATTCTGTTACACCAAATACACAAAATAATGATCTTTAAAAAAGCATCATATGACCCCTTTAAACAATGGTTGACCTGCATACTAGCATACTACTGTTTCTGCCATATGTTAGTATGATAGTATGTTATTCTGAAATCAGCCAATAGCTGAGTAGCTATTTAGCTATTGGTTAACATTAACTATTAGCATGTGTGGCCTACCTGACACAGGCGGGAAAGCCATTTTAGAAGTAGTGTGCTGTATTTTGATCAGTTTATGAAGACAAACATTTTATGTTCTTTGCAGTATCATGCAATCTACACATCATCCATAATATGATGAAGACAGTGCATTAGGAAATAAATAGGTAAGTAAATAGTCCATTTTGATTCAGTGTTTACTGTCACATTTACTGTGCACAAAAATATTCTGACATGCATGGTCCGATTATGTCAGCTTTGTTTAAACGCAGCCAGATTGCAATAAGGACATTAACCCCTTAACTGTCACCCCCCATTTTTTAAAATAGGCATGCAGGTGCACTATCCAAACTTAAATTGTTGTAATTTATGAACACTTTGGAATACAGACATAAGGTTGGTCTCTTTTTAAAGAAGAAAATCAGCAAATTATCGCAAAAGTGGAATTTTTTCCACAAACTAAGGGGGAGGAGACCGCCAAAAGATTTTAAAGTACCATTTCCATGGTAACGCAATGTCTGATTTCGAAATGGTTTTCACAGGATGAATCTTGGGCTTCTAAGCTTTCAAATGATATATGATTTATGATGATTACTAAAAGATTTGATAGAGAAAAAAAGACAACAACAAAAAGAGCGCCAAACGTCCCACAGGTGGGACGGTGACAGTTAAGGGGTTTTAAGTCAATATTCCAGTTCCTAAACATCAGAATATACAATCTGATTCAAAATTTTGTGTAATTTAAATCCTTTATTTGAAATGTCAACCAAACATTTATATTGTATATCGTTTTAAAGTATTTAGCCAGAATTTGGTTGATTTGGTTAAAGTAGTTAAGGCTCTACTTTAGTTTAACATTGTGTAAAATCCATTTGTCTGGAAATATAAAAGTAATCAATTATTATTTGCATTAAAAGCATGTTTTTCAGAAAAAAATATAATATAAAAATAATCACAGAAGTAAAGATTTGACTTTGGATTGTACCACACAGTCATTTATCCATTTAGGTATGTTTTTCTGTCTAAACTGCTGTAGTGCCATTTATCAACTTTTTAGAAGATAAAACAAATTCGATGCAAAACCATTAGTTATCTCTGTACTTCATGCAGAGATATATAATTCTGCACGACCCAAAAAAAATCTTACTTCAATCACCAGTACAAGCAGAAACTGAAGAATCCGCTCCACATTTGCAATTTCACTTTAAATTTGGCCAGTGATAGTAGAGGGTGTGATTGCTTGTGAGGGGAACAGCCAGTTGTTTAAAATCCCTCTCAGTACGGTTTCAAATTCCCCTCAGTGCGTGTGTGTGTGTTCGTGTTCCACAGACAGAGCGCTGGAGATAAGAAACGGGTTGTGTTTCTGTTGGGGCGGGGCCGAGTAACTGTCACTCACGCGAGTTACCCAACAAAATGGGCGTTCCTTCTCGGCGCTCGGTCCAATGAGAGCCATCGCTCCTGTAGTCACCATGGTGACGGGGTTGTGTCCGGGGAGGCTGTGATGGGTTGACAGGTGCGTGACAATCGGAGCTCTCTGCAAGCATGTACGCCAAAGGCAAGAGTAACAACGTACCGTCCGACAGCCAAGCGAGGGAAAAGTAAGTTTATTTAAGAGGGGGGAAATCTCTATAATGAAGACAGCGCGCGGCCAGACTTTTAACAAGCGGCGGATACGCTCTGTTCCTCGGATGCTGTGTTGTCTCTGACAGCGCGTGTAGTTCATGCAAGAAAGTTGTTGTCAGTTGTCAGTTACACGCTGGTAGAATTTCTTGCGTCTAATTAACGCGACATTACTCCGCATAAGTTAAGAGATAAGAAGACTAAACTTTATATGTGAACTGTCGATAAAAAGAGTACATTTCTGCATCAGTAATTATTTATTTATGCATGCGAAGTTGCCGTATAGCTAATTTCAAGGATTTCTACATCTCAATTTTGTATTGGAATAAGGTGAGTACACAAGCTTGTTTGTCTTTAAAAGAAAAGTGTATGGGAAATACGGTACGTACCCGTTTATAAGCTTAAAAGACAATTTCGGCCAGCCAGGTGAGCTGCATTTCGGGCCATCCGTTGTTAAAAGAACGAACGCTGTTGCTGTGTTCCGTGCGCTCGCGGGAGAGTATGATTGGCGTGAAAAGTTCCAGCTCGCGCGAGCGAGTGAAGTATAGCGCGCGAAAGAGTATGATTGACATTTCAGCAGGAAAAGTTCCGAGTATGACTGACCTGCGGGCGATGGAAATTTTCGCGCGGGGAACGTCAATCATACTAGCTTCCGCGCGTCAATCATACTCTCTCGCGCGCCGCGAGCTGAGACTTCTTGTTTGGCTGCGCGCGAATCTCGCTCAAGATGGTGATGGCACGACGAGAAGTCCGTCGACCTGAGGAGATGAATTTTTCTGTATTTTATATCATTCTACATTATTTGATGTATGTTTAGTTTGTTTGGTAATGTCTTCTTAGTGAAAGAACGCACTAAATAGGGAAAATAGAGTTTGAATGTTCCTGAAATGATATCCAGTACACTTACAACGGCTTTTTTTTTAGGGGAAATCTTTGTGTAGGAGCTTCCAAAAGAACTTTGTAATGAATATATTGTGGATTTAGTCATTTGTTGGAAGTATTTCTTACTTAAGTGTGTTTGGCCATTAATGTGGAGATTTTAGACTTTAGAGTATCCTAGAATTATGTCTAGCACACCTTCAACCTTTCTGAGAGGAATGTTTGTTAGGAGCCTCCAAAAAGACCTTTGTCATGATATTTAAGGACTTTTGTATTCTAAAATATGTTGTATTAGTGTATTTAGCTTGTCAATTGTGGGGAGTTTGGAGTATCATCACTGCTAAGAAGATGATGTTATGGACATGGGAGCTTATTTGACAAGTGTCAGTCAATCAGAAAGTGTCACCTCACCCATTGATTTCCTGTGGTCAAAAACTGCATTATTATTCTCATATCTGCCTTTGTTGTCAGTCTGAACGCACACAGTTTTGTCTTCCTGCAGTGAGGTCTTGTCTTGAAGTAATTAGCAATTATTGCAGTTTCATTCAGGCCAATGTCTTATGGGACTTGTGTGGACTTGTGGTTTCGATGAAAACTCTCCAGCATTAGATTTGAGCTTGAGAAAGCAGTTTTGCTGGTTATGAGCTTTTCTTACAGCTTCTCGCTCCTTCTAAATGAATTTTTCTGCTGTTTGTGGTTCTTAACTTGTGCTGGGAATGCTTCAGGATTTAAAAAATAATCACCATTGTGCAACTTTTTGTTAATTTCCAATGTTTTCTTTCAAATTTTGGGGTTTTGCAACTTTTATTTAAAGGGACAGTGTAGAATAGAGAGAAAATTATAGTACGAGAAGGAAGGAATGGGAAAGTGACGCATGGACTCAAACCCACGTCTCTCATATGAGCATGACAGAGCACATGCGCTAACAGCCGCACCATGGCTCCTATAATGACATTCGTTTTAGCCAGTCTTGACGTCTTGACTTAGATCTTGATCTAAAATCCAAGCGTAAAACTTGAATATACAGGGCTGCCACAGCCATAGAAATCCTAGAATCAGGATGATTTCCAGGCCTAGAAAGCTTGTGAATATTAACAAAATCTTGTAATCTTTTGTTAGAAATATATATTTATTTAGTTATGCTCAGATTTAAAATATTTAATTGCCCAGAAATTGTTATTTGTGCTTAAAATCTCTTATGCAAATTTAATTTTTATCCAGTAATAAAAAACATCTTAAAGTCACATCAGTTATTGGTCAAAAAATTTGGGAACTCTATATGATCATTGTGAATAAACACAATAGCATGTCTGTGTTCTTTTTTTTTTTTTATGTTCCGTCATTTTATGCATTGGTTAAAAGTTTGGGAATGGAAAGATGAAATCCCTATGGAAGTTTGACTCATACTGTATGTGATTTTTAATTGCACATTCAGTGTGAATGAAAAGCTTTACCTGTATCCCAAGGATTCAACCGATATTTAGTAGAAAAAAATTTGGGAACTCTATATGATCATTGTGAATAAACACAATAGCATGTCTGTGTTCTTTTTTTTTTTTAATGTTCCGTCATTTTATGCATTGGTTAAAAGTTTGGGAATGGAAAGATGAAATCCCTATGGAAGTTTGACTCATACTGTATGTGATTTTTAATTGCATATTCAGTGTGAATGAAAAGCTTTACCTGTATCCCAAGGATTCAACCGATATTTAGTAGACAGACTGTATTTAGTTAATTGTTTTCAGAGATCTCACAAGCTGGTTAAATCATCTGATAGAATGTCTTTTTGGAAAGCAAATCTCAGCATCAAAAGGATAAAAGTGTGATGTCGTTAAGTGACAAAAGAAGCTTTTGACATAATGTTTTATTTGATAGGAAGTGCAGAATCAGTCAGTTCTGTTTTAACACTTAAGCTGTTTGAATTTGACAACCGCTAGACTATGGTGTTGTAGCACCGGCAGGTTTAAAGAGGTGACTGCTTTGAGAAGATCACAGTACCTTTTATCTCTTTTCTTGAAAGAAAAGTGGACAAGTGGTTAACTGTCAAGGAGGATGGTTTGTGTGATATGAGAAAGGGAAAAAAATGAAAAACTCAAAGCTGATGTCCCAGCGGCTTGAAAAGTGTGCAAAGCACAGAATTCATCTGTTCCATTGTTGATGGAAGTTAGGCTTCGTTTTTAGTTTGGCAATTACCATAAACATACATACATAACCTTGCCAATGAACACATTTAGTCCTGAAATATACCACATGGATGTTGCGTTTTCATTTATGCAGTAGGCACTATAGTGAGCATTAGCGCAAATTGTCGTCCTCTATGATTGGTTTTCTGTTCCATGTCAGGTACTATGATGGCAAATCAAGTTTATAGCTAACTACCTGAATCCAGTCTAATGGCACAGACAGTAAATTTTCTATTGTCTAATATTATGCAGATTTACTCACAATTCAATTCCATGAAATTAGATGAAAATAGATCAAATTAGATTTTTTGATTTTACTCAAAAAATCTGCAAAACAGAATTGAAAACTGATTACCTGTTGACGAAGTTGTTTGCATATTTTAGAATTGATAATCTCAAAATGGCCACATATTGGCACATTAATTGGACTAGCGAATATTTTTGGTCTATGGCTGCTATTGAGGTTTGTTACGGCCACAAATGCAAAAACGAGTGTTTAATTTGTACTAGTGGTCAAACGACATATTGGCCAATCAGTCAGCCAATATCTGCCATTTTTTAATTATCAGCATCAACCGATGAGTTATTCTGTTTGGCCAGTGTGTCGGGAGCAGGACATTCATTTTGTCAGCGCCTAACGGCATGGAGCTCCTTTTCATCTTCATTAGATGATTCATTTACTGTCTCTGTTTAACAGTTTTTCTTTACAGTACAACTTTAAAATTACAATGCTAATATTTATGGTTGTCTCATTCATTTTAAGATTTTAGGCCTAAACATTGCTTTTTTTTTTTTTTTTTATGTGACTTTTTAGTGTGTTTCTCTTTTTAGACAACAAAAGAGAGGTTTTGTAAGCACTTCTTACATTTAAGATGAAAGTGGTTCATGCATATTGCGTTCCCAAATGTATGTTATAAACGACTCAAATTTGGAAAACATAGAGAGATAAGTTTGTGTGGAGCCATATTTACTGCGAACCGAGGTGTTCTGAGACACTGAAAACACCAGATAATGAGCTGCTTGTGTGTAAAAGGACATAGCGCTGCGCTTTACTCTGAAACACGCAGCGCATGTGTTTGCTCAATTAAAGCACATCCTTTGCAATTTGACAATTGTCCTAAGCCATATTTAGGTTTTATTTTGATTCATTGTGCAGCCAGATATATACCATCTAACTCAAATGTTATGTGCAGGATTTGTCTTTGCAGTCTTTCAATCTGTAAGCTTCTGGAAACATCCAGGTGTGTTTCAGAATGCAGTTTGTGGTTTCACAGTTTGTCTGCCTGCTGTGGGTGTATAGCTGGGTATGTTAGTGTTTGTGTATCTGTCTTTAGTTTTGCGTCTCTCTCTCTCACTCTCTCTCTCTCTCCTCTGCTGATTCTCGGGAGAGCAGACCTCTCTAATATCTCCACGCATTAATATGCAAACAGTGTGGTCCACGCAGCGGCACAAGGTTAAGCATGCGTGACGAGAGGAGAGAGAAAGCACCTCAGATACTGTTGGGGAACTTTGTTTCTCTCTCCCTGTCTCTGCGTGTTTGGGAGTGTTCATTATGGGAGACTATTGCATGGTGGAGGTACTAGGCTGTGACATGTTATTTTTTTCATCATGGAGACAGGCTATTGAACTGACCTGAAGTGTGCAAAGGGGTGTTTTTTTGCATAGGTTCAGCCTGAGTGTCCTTTGTGCCTAGGGATTGTGCACGACTACTTCTACTTTCTGGAACATCCAATCAGTTTTAATAATCCCCTGTAAAATTAGGCTGGTTTTGGGTTCGCCAAACTTAAAACTTTTAACTTTATACACAGTACTGGATGTATGGCTGGATTTTTGTGTATAATTATAATAGCTGTAAATTTGAAAGCTATTTTTGCAGATATTCTTTGAAAAGAAAACCTAATTTGATGGGAAAAAAT